GAGTATTATAAATTGCCATCCTAACTAGTCATTATCTGTGTTTGTATACATTTGCATACATAAAATAGCATATTAAATTAGAATGCTCATAACTCGCTTTAACGAGTTTTGGACTAAACTGTCGTCAAAAACCCAAATAYAAACACAGATAATGTTCATATCATCAAATTTCATCAGAGGTCAATTCACTTTAAGTTTTAAACTAAAGAAGCTACACGTCATGATTTGCTGACKGTAAATTTGGTGAGTTACATACTTGTAAGACGAAGGCAACAAATGCCAGTGTTACATCCTCTCGATGTTCTTGAATAAGTTAATTCGATATTTTAGATTTTTAAGGTACCTATTCAAAAGACTAAAAACTTTGAAATTACTTTAATAATGTCGACGTGAAGTAAAAAAGTATTATTATTAAACCAATAATATCGTAAAGGTTACACTTCCTAGTCCTACTTTCCTAGAATTCCTCGTATTCGTAGTATTTAGTTTTTAATGTTAAAAAAACAAATTTTAAATCCAATTTAATAAATGATTAATGATATTTTATTTAATGATAATTTTAATTTAATAAATGATTATCCCATTGGCCATTAATACGCATAATGTTTACGTTCGGCATGATGAGATGCGGGTCGGTGTCGCCAACTGCAGCATGATGACCAATGAGTGAGAGTGAGGAGAACCCGACCGCCAGAGCCGTTTTCATATATTTTTTATAAGTTCTTTTTACAATTTGTAGGACATTTCGACGTAGATGTTATGTTGAATAACACACACGACACACGATTAGTGTTTACCATAGAATTCTATACCAAAAGTTCGTGTTAACCTTATTCTTGTTATCAATCTTATCAATGAATCCGTTGGATCAAAACAACATAGACATATAATATAATATTATATCTGTATAAAACAAAATAAGCAAATGGTATTTTATTTTACAATTAAAATAATRTATAACAATTTAGGCCTTTAAATGTTATAACGTCACTTAATATTAATATTTTAGTTATATTTACGCGTTTTTAAGCTGAATCGTTTAATTTTATAAATTCAAAAGGTTTGTGTGCTCTATGCTTAGATAATTCAAAACTGCTTTCGAAATTATTTTTATTATGCTTATTGCTTGTCAACCGTCTCTGATTAAAGTTAACCGGAGTTTAATCGGCCGAATTTGCACGGTTAAATATCTGTTATCAGCTGATTAAGCGTAATCGAAGTTTAACCGTAGACGGTACAACTGGCCCTAAATTGCTCACCGTTTAATCATGTATACTAAAATTGTTTATAAATTATAAAATTAATAGTATTTTTGCATTAAATACAGATATTATTTTTCAAATATGGGTTCATAC